CTTGGGATGGAAGAGGCTGGGTATCTAAAGAAGACGGAATATCCAAGTAGGTCACCTGACCTGAATCCCTTCATTCACCCAGTTCGGGCGGAGTTCAATAGGGTGGTCTACGGTGGCGGAGAAATCCACTATTTCGCTGATCTTAGGCACCACATCGCGGTCGCGCTCCAGAATCTCTCGATGGCGCTCGTCCAGAAAGCTGTGGCAGAGTGTCATGATACTATTCAATATGATCTTTAATATGGTGGTGAAAATGTTCGATCAGAATCTAATAAGGTGTTACTTATAGCGCCTCGAAAGTCAATGAAGAAAAGTGCCTTTTTTTGGTCCCCCTGTATATAACTCCGTGCACTTAACAATAATGTGACGTAAGCTCTGAATTTTTACAACTTTTTGCAACGTTTTTTCACATTCAATCTTCACAAAACCAATATAGTCATGCATTTACACACTAGCACACTAAACCCCGCCCTTCTGACCCCGCCCACTTTCGTTTTGCGTGAAATTTTTTTCTTCCGAATTCTTACTTTTTTCTGCTGTGTCAAGATCCCGCCCACTGATAGAGCTCCGCCCACCCTAAAGAAGCTCCGCCCACTTTTTAAAAATGATGCAGATTGGGAAGCTAGTGACCGTACTAGCGGGTTATGGCCTCTCCCGTCACACAGATTGAAAAAATAAGAGAAAGACCAGGAAAAAGGGAAACTTTGTTCGGGTCACGGGACGGGCCAGCTAGTACGGTCACTAGCTCGTCGATCTGCATCATTAGTGAGCGGGGATTCCACAAAGCGGGCGGAGCTCCTTTTAGTGGGCGGAGCCGCTTGCCACAGTCTAGAAAGATAAAAATTCGGAAGAAAAATCAAAATTCCACGAAAAACGAAAGCGGGCGTGGTCAGAGCTAGTGTGTAAGTGCATGACTTAAATGTTGGTAACATATTCCCCGATTCTTTGTTGCAGTTCCCTTATAGTCATCTCAAGATACTGTAATCCACATCCATTGCATGTTAAACACTATATCACGTTCCTTGTGTTACATTTAGTATCTGTTTCTTAATATGTTTTGATGTGCATGCCTGTAAAATGTGATATTATGATGTTCTCCATTTTTGTGACACTACAGGTTTCACACTTTTTGTTGCATTTGTAGCCCTTGTTATCATTACAAAATCCATCGAATAATTAGTGATTAGCCCATGGCTTACCTTGTGGAGCCCAGTGCGGACGAAGTAATTTTGTGCGCTTATTTGAGCATTTTTTGAAATAACAAGGGAATGGTCTGAACTTCTCATGGGACTTCGAATGGAGACCTAGGTACATCGATAGAGCCTCGAATGCTGGTTACGAAGATGCAGATTAAAAGTGCTACGGGGACCTCCCAGACGAGATTTGGGTGGTCAAAATTTGCGAAAAGTCAGTTTTGGCTCGTAAGCGCTGCTGATCGATGTCTCGGTAGTGCCATTGTGGCCTTGAGGTAATGGTCCCGCTTTCGAGTCAAACGCTCGCGGGTTTGCATCCGGTTGGCGCAAAAATTTTGCATCGCTCCCTACAGGAGCTTTTACTCTAATTTTCAAATTTCTCCCTAGCTTACAGCCCAGCAGGGCAGTTAGATCAAGTATATGACGACTCGATCTAGTATGGATTTGGTCATATCTGCCCTTCTTCTTCTTCTCCTTCTTCTTCTTCCTCAGCGTTTGTCCCGCTCTGTAGCGGGGTCTGCTCGTCTTATTTTCACGCCACCTCACCCGATTGGATGCTTGATCGGGATGGGCGCCAACTATCTTTAAGTTCGCATGCAACGTGTCTAACCAGCGCTGCTTGGGGCGTCCTTTAGGCCGCTTCCCGTGAACTTCGAGGTCAAGACCAATCCTACGGACGGTGTCACACACCGCGCGAAGAACATGACCATACCATCGAAGGCGAGCTTCGCGCATTTTCTCGGTCACAGGAGCAATACCGAATCTCTTCCTTATGTCGTCATTGCGTATGCGATCCATACGCGTGACACCGGCTGTCCACCGCAACATTTTCATCTCCATAACTCCAAGGCGCGCTTCAACTTCTCTGGTCGTAGGCCAACATTCAGCACCGTATATCGCGACTGGTCCAACCACGGTCCTATATATCTTCGATTTGAGGCGATCTGTATCGTCTTGTCGCAGTATCTCACGTTTCTCTAGCAAGAGACGAGCGGCATGTATGGCGTCGATGGTGCTACAGCCACTCACGAAGCCACACTGGTTGGTGGAGAGCTGGACGATACCACGAAGACGTTTATCAACAATCCGCTCAGAAATTTTCATACTGTGCGACAGCAAGCGAATTGGACGATATTCGAGCAGTCTGCAGGACTGCCTTTTTTCTTCCAGATCGGTACCGTCGTGCTCTCTTGCCATGCTTCAGGCATTTTCTTCTCTGCAACGACCTGATTGAAAAACGTTGTCAACCATTCGGCAGCATGCCAGCAGTGTGACTTCCATACTTCGACCGCCACGTCGTCAGGGCCCGTTGCCAAGCCTGGCTTCATCTTCTTGAGAGCCGCCTCCGTTTGTCCACACTTATCTTTCGAACGGGACCGTATGTTGGTAAGGCGCGAGGGATGGCCGGGTGCTCATATTCCACTGTGGAAATTTCTCCAAAGTAGTCGCGCCATCGCCTCAGCACCTTTGTTCGGTCCATCGGGAGGCGACCCCTCTCGTCATTGATGCCAAAGAACTTCTCCACGTCCTGACGGTGACGAGCTTTAGCAAGTCGGTAAATGTGCCTCTCGCCATCTCGTGTTTCCAGCTTCTTGCTGATTTCATCGAAGTAGGAAGCTTTTGCGGCACGCAGCCACAGCCTTCTTTGCTGCTTTTTTCGCTTCCTGGTATTTTTGCCATTTGCCTGCTGACTCGTCTTCAAAGAACAAGTGGTAGCGCTTCTTCTTCTCGTGAACCTTGTCCCTGAAGTTATCTGTCCACACCATGCCTGCTTTCAATTCTACGCCTTCCAGGTTTCGTTGTTCCAAGTTCAGAGCGAGCGGCTTGGACAATTGCTTTGGATGGAGGAGTTTTCTCGTCCAAAACTTTGAATTGTTGGATGGGTAATATGTTCAGAGAGGGCAGATATGACCAAATCCATACTAGATCGGGTCGTCATATACTTGATCTAACTGCCCTGCTGGGCTGTAAACTAGGAAGAAATTTGAAAATTAGAGTAAAAGCTCCTGTAGGGAGCGATGCAAAAATTTTTGCGCCAACCGGATGCAAACCCGCGTTCAAGCGTCAGACTTGAAAGCGAGACACTTATCTCAAGGCTACGGTGGCACTGCCGAGACATCGATCAGCAGCGCTTACGAGCCAAACCTGACTTTCCGCAAACTTTGACCACCCAAATCTCGTCTGGGAGGTCCCTGTAGCACTTTTAATCTGCATCTTCGTGACCAGCATTCGAGGCACTATCGATGTACCTAGGTCTCCATTCGAAGTTTCATGGGAACTTCAGACCATTCCCTTGAAAGATCTGAGCGCACGAGCGGTCAAACCCATACGCAAAAAGAGTCAGTTCCGCAGGGCTGCTGCCCAGGTGGTGGCTCCCTTCTCATAAACACTAGCGCTGAGACGCCAAAAACTGACCCCTACGGCCGTTTTTGACTTGCATAATCCCGTCAGTGCTAATCCCTATTTTCATAAAGGTGTGGTCCTCCTGTAGAAGGGACATGGACCTCCTTTGTGTTATGTGTAAACAAGCATGTATAAAGGATATGGGACATATGCAAGAAGTAGACACAAGGAAGGAAAAGGAGAAAAGAAAAACGAAAAACGCGCGGAACCAACATATGTAAATAACAAGGACTGCAAATGTTACGTAATTTCAAAAAGAGAATAATAATAATACTATAGTAAACTAATAGCCGTTATTCAGGCGCTTTGACAACATAGTATCGGGTTGCCTGCGAGCTGCTACACGATGATAGCATAAACATAAAGAAATCACTGAGAATGAAAATTGATGGACTACGTTGAAAAGAATGAATGAAAGTTTGTGAAGGGGGTTGAAAGCAAATAGACAGCTCAGCTTACGTTTCGTACGCGCCCTTAACGGAAGCCGAGCAGGAGCATAGTCCTCCCTCTATCTTCTTCATAAATAAAGGGAGAAATAATAAATCTCAGAAGGTTCATAAGAAACAATGTTGAGAATGTCGAAAATTGAAGAGGTTAAATAGGCATGGTTTGACGAGGATTATGCAATCTTGACTACGAAAAACAGTTTGTTAGATAAGGTTACGCTGTAACTGTAGGTATTACACTACACTACACATGCAATCAGAAGAAAATAAGCCCGGTGGGGGGAAAAGTAGGAAATGAGAGGAAATGGACCTGCAGACTGGAGGCATGCCTGCAAAGGACGTTGCTTGAATCGAACCTGCTTCCCCTGCCAACTCTAGACTACTACTTCTACATCTGCTTACATCCGAAATTTTCGTGATGATTTAAAAGGTTTTGTGTACCTACTTGAAGCAAACTCCTGAACGCACATTGAAGCGTCCCCAACAATTTACAAGAGAGCTAGTATATAGAAAATTAGAGAATTGCTGGTTCTACATGCGGCGAATAGAAAGGTAAAGTTGAATATTTCAGAAAAGAAAACATTTTCTATGTGAAGAGCTGATCCCATTGGTTCTCTCTCGCCGGAAAGTGTGAAGGGGTAAAACCCACCTCACGCGAAGAAGAAGAAATTTTGCCGGCGATGTTAGCCTATCTGGACTGGCCCCACCGCATTTGAACTATGAAGGGAAGGGGTAGTTTGAAACCCACTCCACCCAAAGAAAGAAGGTTGGCGATCAGTAGAATCTGATTGTTAAAATAAATATTGAAAGATGGAATGGGAGGTAGAGGACTTTTCAGTGGGTAAATAAAACCTGCCGTCCGTGGAATGATGGATTCCCTCATTGGTTTATCAGTCGTCCCCTCTTAGATCCCACGCAAAACATTCTTTGTAGTTGACGGTCCCTAGAGATAAAAAAAATGTTAGTAATGTTGTTTGGGTTAGTTACTCACGCATCGGTGTTGATCTGATCGTTGCTCATTAGGTTGGCTTCGTGCGCGCAGCAACAAACTACGACCGACTGTCTCTGCAATCGTTGGCTCAACTACTTAAGAAGAAGGAAGTCAAAGTCAACACCGTCATAGACGTTGAATCAAGTCAGCTGCCCGATGATATCATCGCATCTGGAAAATTGAAACAGCTGCGGAGCAATGCTAGAAGTAATCAAAGAGTTTGAATTATTCTCACTTTGTGATTGTTGGTGTTGTAGCCGCACCCGTATTAGAGTTTTACCTCTGCCTGCACATTTTGGGTTTTTTTCGAGATTTACTCTCTACTTCAGTGAATAGTTCCAATACGCGTTCCTCAATTCCACATGCATTTCTATAATAATGCTCGTAATAACTTCCTTACGTTCCAGTTCCTAGTTTATGAAAGGATAAAGGGTGCATTCTCCGCAGACTGGTTGATCCTTTTTTTGACGTGGCACGCAATCCTCCATTCAGAAACGTAGTGGTTCACTGTATGCGATGTGGCCTATACAATGACACGCGGGGGCCAGTGATGAACAAGTCATTCTTTTTATCTTTCCAGACGAATCTAGTATCATTTTACCGTTCCGGATAGGAGGCACGGTTAGCATGGGCGAGGGCCAATCCAGGGTTTGATTTCCAGACTGTGCGCATAATAAACGTGCCACTTGCTACTGCACCACCTCCGCCCCGGTTTCAACGTTGCATCCTGGAAATGTCACACAGTTTTGTCGCCGACACTAGACAAACAAAGGAATTGTACGGGCTTCGAGCAGTAAATTCTGTAAATCGAAATATTTCTTCATCACATAGGTAAACCATAGAATATATTGACAGAGCACTTTCTTTTTTGTTGCGCCCCATACATAAGAAGTGGATTTCTCATCACTGGGAAATCAAATGTCTCTAAAAAATACTGTTTCTACAAAACGATTCGAAACTATGCAAGGTAACCTTCAAGGAGCTACCAAACGCTGTTACAGTAATCATTGTCGAGCTTGGAATGGATATCATCGCAGCCACCAACTTCATGCTTGCTGTTTATCGTTCCGATATGAAGACTGATGAATATGTCTACATCATTCCATGGCTTTCTCATGTAAGTTACAAGCTCCAACGTTTAATAGAAATGTGCTCAGGAAGGAGCCGTCAAGATTCATAATTGGTATTCACGCCGACAAATTACCTGGGACGCGGGAATTTTTATCGCTACTATATATTAGATCGAAAGAAAAGTACTGAGCACCTTGCACAAGATGTTTTAGAAAAAAATTAAGGTACATCATGACTGCTGCAACAGCTGATTAGTGGAGAGTATTATCCGAGGCTTTTGCGGACGGGTAAGTTGCGGCTTTGTGAAAGCTTTCAGGGGTTGAACGTCCCCCAAGATCAAGGTACTTCTTGACCTTTCCTACACTATGAGTTCGTGTAAGGCCACTCTGTCGTAGTCGGGGTCGCTAACACCTGCGTTGTCTTCAGAAAGGATGTCACATGCCACAATGTCTACTGGTATCAGCGCTTGCGAGTTGGAGTTGTTTTGTTCGAAGGTAGTCAACGTATAGGGTGGACGTCAGCACATAGTCAACGTATAAGGTGACCGTCAGCACAGAGTGCCGGCCGTTTACTTAACCCTCAGAAGGAATGGCCGAACGTGACCGTCTGCAAATTGACAAAATCTCCAGGCTGCACTCAAGCGACAACTATTATGCTTCTCCGCTATCCAGTTATTGAGAAAAATCTTTATGAGAGGCCACACGAGTTGCACCAGTCTGACAGAGCGCACAGAATGGTCGTGACTGAGTTTTCTCTTTTTTTTGTACAATGGGAAAACTTTTTGCGGGACATTGTGGTTGGTAAAGAGATCTGAGTATTTTGCGTAAACCATGCACACAACATTCGCAGAATCGCTCGAGGAGAAAAGTGGTGCGCAGCGAAAAGCAGATGCGCATGGAAGAAAGACTTGTGTTACTGGCGGACTTCCAAAGCGATTTTGCTGGATACTGGCACGGGAGTGACGGCCACAGTCTACTCTAATAAGCTTCAAACATGGATGATGTCACGCTCCGTTTATTCGGGAACACTTAATTTTCTTCCATTCTTCGGAAATGCACTTTTCGAAAACCGTATATGCCGATGAGGATAAGCCAAAAGAGCATGAATGGACCGCGATGAGGGGATGCGACCGTAGCCAGCTTGTTCGCAGAACTTGGCAGCCTCTAACTATCACCTACTCTGATCCGCACTGCATCCTTTAGAAAGCAAAAATTTTGGCACTACCCTTTACCCTTTACTGCCCCAGTCATCCGAAATCAGGCCAGTTCCTGACCGACTTTTTTCTCCGTGGGCAGAATTTGCTGAAAACTTGGCTCCGGGGATAGTTCGACCCGCTGAACACGAATATTGCATCCGCTTGACCCGAAACCTCCTGGCGCCCGCGCCACGGGCGCCGGCGTCAAATTACTTGAAATAACCAAATTCGCTGAAAACTTGCTCCCAGGGGTAATTTGACCCCCTGAACATGAATATCAGACAAGAAACACTAGCAGCTTACAATGTTTGATAAGAAGCCTTGGAAGGAGTGGGTCGTCAAGACCGTAGCACGTGTCCTGCAGCAGTGGTGCGTTAGTTCTGAGATATGATATGGGGTATTAGACAGAAACCTGACTGGTGGATGACAAGTTCTACGGTGTGGTATAGGGTATTTAGGCAGAAACAATATTTTTGGTAATAAGAAACGCCAGCGGCTTATAATATATGATAAATAGCGTTGGAAGGGGAGAGTCACAAAGCCTGTAGGCGCGGGTCACTGCAGCAGTGGTGGTAACTGCAAGATATGGTGTAGAAACATTTCTGGTGGGTGACAAGAAATGCGAGCAGCTCAAAATCCTACTAATATAATCGGCTGCTTAAAATCCTACTAATATAATCGGCTATGTCCGTGTGTGTGTGTGCCTCTGTCTGTCTGTCTGTTTGTCACGAAATTCATAGCACCTGAAGAAGAACTTGGAGGGGTCGGGTTATGTGGGGATGGGTAGAGCATGGGACAAAACCTAAATAGCATCCATGTCACAGAGGTGACCAGAGAAAATTGGCGAGCATTATTTTGTTTTTGTTTTATAATGATGTTATTATTGTTGGTGTTTTGTTTATTTATGAAAATAATATCGATAGAAAGGTTTATCGGCTTGAAATGAAGCAAGAGCACAAGCCTGCAAGAACACGTTGAAGGTCGAGATAAAGAAGAGCAATCTTATCAAGGAGAAGATACCACCGATGCGATAAGATACCAGTAGAGAAGATTGCAGCTCATATTTAAGGCTTCTTGAGTAGGAATAAACACTTTTATCGGCTTCTATCCTCCGACCGCACAAGTGGTGCATCGGCCGAATCATCAGAGCATCCCAAGCAGGACACAGTGAACCAAGTGGAGTGGAGTATGGCTGCGTGCTGCACATGGTGCAGCACAATGATTCTTCCGCTCCATCTGGATTATTTTGCATCCTTTTCTGCTACAAAGTTGCGAGCGTATCTTTTCGAGCACGGAGGAGAACATAAGTACGTGGGACTTCCATCGCTGAAGGAGCACTTGGGTTATTGACCTCTTTCATAAAATACTTCAACTGTGATCTTCTTCGTCTATTTTCAACACTATAAACACTCATAAAGGATCAAAAGGACACCGTGGATGATATGTGTGGAAACACATAATGGAGAAATATTGATCGCAGATTGTGCATCTTGTATTCACTAGCATTTTATGGTTTCTAGCGTACGGATTTCGAGTCCCATTTGGAAGCAAATCGCCAAAAACTTCAGTAGTTCGCCCTCGTCGAGATTAATCCAGTTTGAGTACTTTGCGATCGCATAACGATTGGTTATTCTTACAATCAAATCAACGAGATCATCTGTGAGGAATCGCCGGAAAAATTGGATTGGATACTGGTACGATAGAACTTCCTCATCAAGTACACCACCGAAACCTTGAAAGTCAAAATTCTGCCTGCTGATATCTGAAGTCCACTGAGTCGCTCCATCGTTATCTGAGCCTTCGTCGCTTGATTCACAATCGGACTCCTCACTCGAATGATCCACGCGGAAAACCATATCTTCTGGGGTATCAGGGCCTTGCTCCGTCACTTCTTCGTCACTTTCAATCAAAAGTTCATCAAACGACTTATTCAGCGCGCCCATCGCTGCCTATCTGGAACGGTTACCATGAATTAGGGGTGGTTTCCCAAAAAATAACCTGGAGAAGCAAAAATGACGTACGTTGAGTTTATACTCCGCTGCGGGCGCGAGAAAGACAGCTCTGCGTGGCCGCGTGCTGCACCATGTGCAGCACGCCGGCGAGGTTGCGAAATATGGCTCGGCCACAGGCGCCCGTTTTCGCGAAAACCCCGTGGTACGCAATGGGTTAAACTTGGATAGAGCGTTGTCTGGTAGTAGCTCTGATGGTCATTACCCCGCCTAAGCACTCACATCACTCAAAAATGGCAACATCATTGAGAACGAGGGGGGGATACTGACCAGGCATCTGAACAGCCTGACACATAGCTTGGCCAAACACTCTTACTTGAATGAGGTTATAAGCACGGAAGATGGTCAAGCATGTAAAGCGCGCTTCACTGAAATCAAGATGGCCGAAGTAGAAATTAGAGCACTCCAAAATAATTTCGAGAAAGCCCTTTTTGACTTCACTGCTGTTATAGATGATCTCGAATAGCATCCTACAAAAGTAAGAAAAGAAAAAAATCTCAGAATACATATACAAACGCTGAAGATATGATTTCAAAAACAACAGAATTTTTAATCAAACTCGAAGATTAACAAAAGTCATCGATGAGTTCCGAAACCTTCAGCATGGGAAGTCCAGTTAATAGAAGCACAACAGCTAGGATAGAGCCAAAGATACCACCTCCCCAGTTCAGCGGCAAAGCATGGGAGTGGGATAGTTTTTGGGAACTATTCGACGCAACCGTGCATTCTTCGCAACTTTCAGACCTCCAGAAGTTCAACTACCTTCTGAGAGCACTGAAAGGTGAAGCCCGAGAGGCGGTGGCCCGGTTCTAAATAACGGCGGATAATTACAACCTCACGGTAAATCATCTCAAAGAAAGATATGGAGATGCTCCGAGCATAATTACTAGCTTGCATCATCAACTGGAAAATTGGAGCGCCAGAAGGGCGCACTTGAAGGATCAGCGCAAGCTTCACGACCACTTATCCACCATTACCGCTCAATTGGTTAACAAAGGGAATCCCTTTATAGTCTGTGGGTACTATCAAAAATTCTTTCAAAATTTTCGGAGTCAATACAGCAAACACACTGAGGGAGAAAGTCTTCTTGTCCCAGGACCAAAGCTGGACCTTGACAAAACTCATGACTACTCTCGATAGTGTAATCAGACAAGAAGAAGAGATTCAAAGGTGCATGCCCAGAAGAACTGAGAGTACCCCGCAATCTCCGAAAAATAAAGCAAACTTCCAGTCAAGAAGTCGTCCACCATTCTGCTTCTGTTGCGACAGCAAGGAGCATTGGTCAACGCAATGTTCCAAAATCATTACTCCTAAGGCACGCCTGCAGTGTGGAAAGAAGCATCACACCTCCATATGCTTCAAAGCCGCGACTGCAGATCCGTCTGCCCGAACTACCTTTACTAATCGAAAGAAGGAGGACAAGCAAAAACCAGTAGATGCCCGACAAAACTTTTCAGTGGGTGAAGAAGAAAACGTTCAGTTGGAAAGCAACCAAACCTCTAACTTTACAGTGATGAGAGTTGAAGACACTTTTCGTCAAAAACAACAAGAAAGGATATTCCTCTTGACGGGAGCTGTACGGACTGTACACCCCGAAACAAAAAAGCTCATTACGCTCCACATTCTCTTGGACACGGGTGCAGTTCATCGATACCAAATTAGCAGGTGAACTTCAGTTGCCTGTCCAAGATAAAGTTACCATGAAACTACTTTTGGAGCTGAAACAGCAAAGGGAATCCAGTGTGATGACACATGTTTGAATATATAGGATTCTGATGGAGAGCAGCACCAGCTCAGACTATATACTCATGATAACCTTACAAGAAATTAGAATGGAGGAAAGCTCCAAAAAGAAGACATGCGATTCATCCACAAAAAGCGAATAAAACTTAGAATCTCGGACAGTGAAGCAAGTAAGCCTCCAGACATTCTCATTGAATGCGATCAGCTATGGAAATTCATAAAATTTGAAGCACCACGCTTCATATTGCCTTCCGGATTGACACTTGTACCCACACGCTTAGGATACATGGTCTCTGGAAAACGCACTGAAAAATATGAAGAACAATATCAACAGTAGCAATCAACTGTGCATTCGATAGAGTCACTAGGACTACCACACCATGGGAAGATCACTGGGACACGCAAAATCAGGAAATAGAAAAGAGTTTTGTGGTCCTGAAAACGAAGAGAAAGCCCGTATCAATGAGCAGGTATTAAAAAATTTCAATAGCTCCATTGAGAAACGCGTCGAAGGATATGTTGTTTATCTTCCTTTCAAAGAACAACATGAATATCTACCAGACAACAGAGCACTAGTACTACACCGACTGAAAGGTATGCTGATGTATAAAAGCGAGCCTCATATCCTGCAACAATATGTATGATGAAATCTTCCAAGATCAGTTACTTAAAGGCATTCTAGAAGAAGTGGATGAAAAACAAGACACTTATGGAAAGGCGAAGCATTACCTTCCTCACCAACCCATAATCACTCCCCACAAAGACACAACAAAATTCAAAGTGGTATTTGATGCATCAGCACATTACAAAAATTGCCCTTCACTGAATGATATGGTACATCAAGGTTCCACAATACTTTCTAAGCTCTACGGAATGCTATTACGCTTCCAAACTAGAATGCCTTACTATCGGACGTTGAAAAAGCATTCCTCTACATCTGCACGAAGATGATAGAGATTTCAGCAGATGTCTATGGATTAAAGATGTCACGAAGCCGTTGACAGGCGAAAAGATGGTTATCTACAGATTCAAAAGAGGATCAACGCTTCACCGGCCCTGCTGAGCGCAACACTACTGTTCACCTGAACAACTACGTAAAAGACAAAGCACTAGCTAGTGAAATTGCATTGACAATCTGATTGTAAAAGCAGAAACAACTGCAGAAGGAATCAAGAAGTACAAAGGTTTGAACTCGATTTTCAACGATCTCAAAATGAATCTCAGAGCATTCGTAACCAACAATCCTGAAATCATGGAAATCATATCCACATCAGACCGATCTGTAAGAGTAGCACCCAAAGTACTTGGGATTCCCTGGAACTCAATCAAAGACGGATTTACTTTACATGTCGACGTAAGCAAGGACAAGCTCATCAGCAGACGCACAGTTGCGCCACAAATCGCGTCTGTGTACGATCCATTCGGATGGTTTATCCCAATTTTGATCAGAGCGAAGCATTTCCAATGACTCTTATGGAAAGATCGCTATGACTGGGATGATGAAGTAAGTGAGGAACACAAACAACAGTGGAGGTCCATTGTCGAAGAAATGTCCAATTTCCAGAAAGAGTTACCAAGAAAAATCACACGGGATGGAATAACATCGTACACATTAGTCACATATTCTGATGCTAGTGGAATAGCCATGACAGCATGTACCTACCTCACTAGCGACAACAATTCTAGCTTTTTGATGGCAAAATCGAAAGTAGCAAGTCACCAGCAGAAAGCCACAATACCGAAAATGGAGATGAATGCCATAACTATTGGAGCACGGTCAACGCTCAGCATCCTCTCGAACCTTGAAGCTTCTGTGAGTGTCAAGAAAATAATGCTCCTTACCGACTCGGAAATAGTTTTGAAGTGGATCCAAAATTTTCGTAACCGCTGCAATAGGGGAGCATACGTCAGAAATCGAGTCCGCGAAGTGTACAATATTACACATACTTTAACAAGTATGGACATAGATGTGAAGTTCGGCTACATCGATACAAAATGGAATCCAGCAGATGTAGGGACAAGGAGAGCATCTTCTTAGGAATTGTTGTCCCATGTGGGGTTCAAAAGAGGTGATTCCGCTCAAGAACATCATTGAGGACGGTTTCTTGTCTTCCCTCTTCAGGCTTCCAGAAGAGTCAGAAAAGGAAGAAGAAGACAGTTGTTCATTGACAGCGCAAATAAATACCACAAACGCGCACGAAAGCAACGTCAACGAAACCCTTGATCTTGCCAATGCAGCAGTAAGACAAAAGCACTAAGGATCCTGGCATACGCCATTCGATTCCTCAAAGGCATTACTTTCGCTCTAAGGAGCCCACTTCGCGACAAACTACGAAAAGAACTGTCTTGTACCGACGAACCTAATCAAGGACAACACCTCACGGTATCTGACATTCAAGAAGCTCATAATGTGTTGGTCAAGAATCACCAAGCAGTTCATCTGTCTTCACACTAAAAAAAAGAACTTTGCAAGGCGACGATTGAACAAATCCGACTTAAGCACCATGGCGAAAAATCCAATTTTAATCGCGCCCCCCCCCCTCGTCAAGTCGTCTCATTGTGCTCGAAGCACATGGAAAGTATCACAACAGTGTTGGACAACAATGGCAGAGGTACGGCAACAATACTGGATAGCATGGCTCCGCGAACAAGTGAAGAAATGTATTCGAGGTTGCATCCCTTGCCAAAAAATGAACAATCTACCATATAAGCATCCAGAAATGATGGATCTTCCTGAATACCGAGTAAGAAAGTCCCGGCCTTTCCAGAATATACGGCTGGACTATTTTGGTCCACTTACAATCCGTAGCGAATCACAAGAGCTCAGAGAGGCTTACGGGTGCATTTGCATGCTGCGTTACCCGACTTATTCATCTTGAAGTCATGTCAGATGGAACTACGGAAAACTTTCTAAATGCATTCCGTCGATTCGTGGCTCGTCGAGGAAAACCACGTACAGTTACCTGTGATAATACGCCAACATTTCTGCTAGGAAGCCAAATCATAAACGACTCAATCAGCAAATCTACAGCTACCACTGCAAACGGAGCGAGTTATCCCGCATCATGAGCAGTAAGTTGATTGAATGGAAGCATATAACACCCTACTCACCATGGAAAGGAGGTTTTCATGAACGCCTCATCAAAGCGGTGAAACAGTCCTTAATCAAAGCAACAGGAAGACGCATTCTAACAATGGAGCAGCTATGCACATTCCTGATCGAAATCGAGGGATGCTCAAATAGTAGACTCCTCACCTATCAAGAAAGTGAAATCAGCGACGACATAGTGCTTTTGCGCCCAATCGACTTTATACAACAAGAAATGAATGTTACACTTCCAATGGAATTCCACGACGAGGATCAAACAGATTCACGTTATCTACCAGCTTCTGAAGCGCTGCGCCTGGAGACAGAATGCAAACACAGAAAGCATTGCAGATATACTGCAACAGAAAGACTCTCCGACGCCCCGTAAACCAAATTACTCCCTTGGAGATCCCAGGAAGCAGTGAGGAAACTCGGGAAAACCAAATAACAAAGAGAAACAAAAAACACCACAACTCAGTAATTCGCACCATAACCTACGCTCGGAAAGATCGACCGAGAGAACAAGAGAAAGCCAACCAATTCAAACTAACACAAATCACCTCACATCACAACGCTTACCCAAAGCATCATGGCCATTGTTGATATGCCTACAGATGGCACTGACTTTGAGCATGATATCCGTTGTAAATGGAGAAAAACCTATAATACAGCATCAAGCAAGCATTGAAGCAATACAGATTCAGCCGCCCTCGACGTTTCTTCTTTTGAAAGATCTCAGTTTCAGAGAAATGGATTCAAAAGAGCATCGTGACGACTCCAGAAAAAAGAGGCAAGCGGAAGAGCGCAAACTGATCGAAGAAGTACGCTATAAGAGATCGTGTATCCGTCTAACTCCTAGCTTCCCGTCAGAGAATGAGATCCAAAGAAAGATTCTCAAATTTGTTAGGCTGATAATCTTGATTGCAAAAAAATAATTTGCTCGCTAACGAATTTGCCGAACTGAGGGGGAGCAAAGGTGCACTTTTCGCAAACAGGAAGGCCGGTCTGTACAGGAGTCGCGTCGAGAAGCTATATGTCGAGACATGTATTCAATGGAACGAATCCGCAGCACAGCAGAATCCTTATCAGTGGCATATGAAATGTACGACTTTTTGGTTATGTCCGACTCTGCACTGAAGGAATCGCGAAGGCGATTCTACGACACAGACGAAGACGGCATACCTATAGAGCCCGTCTTCATAGCTGACTTCGTTCGAAAAGAACTCGACTTTTTCGCGGATTTCAAACATGAAGTGGAAAAAGAGATCAAGGAATGATTGGTGGCTTGCAGAAGGAGCTACAAGAAAAGTACGAGCATATGTGCCAGCAAATAAAGGAACAAAATAAGAACATCAAAAATCTATCGGAGAAAGTCTATTCCATATCCACTTTGGTAACAAAGGTACACGAACTGCTGAAAAATGGAGAGAAAGAGGATCGTCCTTCTGGAAAAGGTCGCGACGAAGCATTGCAAGGAAGCGGAGAAGGAGACCCATGGAAGGATGACATCGAGAGAGCAGCGGTCCCCGGTGCAGAGGAGGAGGACATTCTGGATATTCATTACGATTACGAATTTGTTCCTGACCAGAGCGATTCAAAAACGAGGCACACCACTGAACCAAACGAATCAATTGGAAAAGAAAAGGCTGACCCACAGCAGCATCCAGGAGCGAAGAGCAGCGCAAATTGGAAGACCGCATAGACGACATTAAGGAGTTTCTGAGGAATAAACGGCATGTTCCGGAACGTCGAATACGGGACTTTGATAAAATGCGATTTGAAGAACGCTATTTAGTCTGCTCGTTTTGCCTTGCGAAAGGCCAACATTACTCTGACAGCTATCCAGTCTATGCGAGCACGGAAATGAGGGAAAGGAGAGCCCGATGCAGGTTGTGCCTGGATAGCCTCCATGACACGATTAATTGTTGGAACGAGAGTATGCTATTATTGTGGATCGAAGAAACACAATAAAGGATTGCTCACTCCCAGAAGATATCGACGACTGCTATAAAGAACTTGAAACCGCGTCGTGAGCTTGAATTGTTCGAGGACTTTTACGGACCCTCCACAATATCATCAAAGTCCTTAGATTAGGGGGAGTGTCACAGAGGTGACCAGAGAAAATAAGCGAGCATTATTCTGTATTTGTTTTATAGTGATGTTATTATTGTTGGTGTTTTGTTTATTTATAAAAATAATATCGATAGAAAGCTTTATCGGCTTGAAATGAAGCATGAGCGCAAACCTGTAAGAACACGTTGAAGGTCGAGATAAAGAAGAGCAATCTTATCAAGGAGATGATCCACCACCGATGCGATAAGATACCAGTTGATAAGATTGCAGCTCATATTTAAGGCTCCTGAAGTAGGAATAAACACTTTTATCGGCTTCTATCCTCCAACCGGACAATCCATAAGCCATGGTGAGCCCCACCCACAGTGGGCGGGGCGTGCGTCAAAAGTTAGCGATGTCACTGAAAAAAATCATAACTCGTTCCAAGCAGTCTCGAGATAAAGAAACAGTGCAGTAACGTTACAAAGGCCCGACCGACCAAACAGAGGAGACACACCCGAAATGGGCGAGGCGTACTTGAGATGGGCGGCGCTTCCCGCAAAGTTCGGTAATTCGGTCCCCGAAAATGTTTAGGGAACGCAGAAAAGTCCATGATCTGGCAAGAGACCACCATGTTATAGAAAGTCGTGCTTTGGCCCCAAAGCACTGCAGATGGTGCCAAAAAGTGGATTATGGTCCTGAAGTGATCAACCATAAGTATGTGCGAGGCACTCCCGTTGTTGGCGGGGCCTGCATCGTGGTGGGTGGAGCCAAGTTAAAGAAAAATTGCAAAATGGTTCCAAAGCACTCCAGACACCGGGAAAGAGTAGTAAAAGATCAGCGAGGGGTTATCAGTTGAGAAGCGCGAGGCAGACGTTGTGGGCGGGGCGTGCCCTTAGGTGTGTGGAGCCAAATTCAAAAAATTCGCAAAACGGTTCCAGAGCACTCCAGAGGGAAAAAGTGGTTTAAAGTCATCAGTGGTCACCGGTTCACAATGATAAGGCATACCTGTTGTGTGTGGAGCGTGCGTCAATGCGAGCTGGGCCAGCCTCAAAAATTCCTCAAGCGGTTCCATAGCACTCCAGGCTCTCCAGACCTCTATGTGATACGGCCCGCTTTGCGAGGCGTGGCTACATCGCGCCTACCTGCATTCGTATGATCAAATGCGACTAATACCCGGCTTTTCTCTTATCTGTCCACTTGGTCAACGCTCCTTACGACCACTCCATACACCGAATAGTGTTGAAACTAGAGGTATGACGCTATTGGTAAAAGAATGTTGACCACCTGTTCAGGTAAGAGAAAAGCCTGATACTAGGTTGCTAATGGAATATATGGAAGAAGGTAAGCGCGGGGGAGCCGCGCCCGCTCGACAAGCCGTGCTGTATCTCAGAAGGAGGCGCCACCGATGTTGATCTAGAGTACCAGTCCGATCGCTGGCGCTTACACCGCTCTGCGGTGCGGTCCGGCCGGATCTAGCGGATGCGGCTATATCGTGCTGCTTCTTTCAGGAGATTCTCGGGATTCCCTATACTATGATCTAGCTGCACGGTAGCTTAACTTGGCATATCCTACACTGTGACACCGAATTCTTTCCGCATCACCCTTCGTCTCACAGTAGAGCGTTGACCAGCAACAAGCAAGAGAAATGCTGGCACTAACTTATTTCTTCCACTCCTGCAGCTATTAGGTTGTCCGGAAAGTTCTCAGCGTTTTGTGTTACTATTTTTGTACATTCATTGCTGATTATAAACTCATTCTCCCTTGCGTCTCAGTAGTACATCCTGAAGAGGATTTTTGCGCTGTCTGGTGGTATAATTGCCGTTTCACCATTACTTGATAAACCCCCTTTTTCCAAGACTTTTTGAAGCATGTCAAAAGAGCAACTTTGGACGATATTTTTCTTCAACTGTAAAGTGGGTCAATCCGCAGTCAAGACAGCTCGACAAACTAACCAGGTGTGGGGGCCAATATGTATGGAGAAAGCACCGTGCTAAAATTGTTCGCAAATTTCGTTTCGAGATTTCAGCCTTGAAGATGAAACCTCGTAGCGGTCGATTTAAAGCAATACCTGACGAGGATTTCAAGGGTTTGTGGAGGCTAACCCATCCCAAACAGTTCGAGGAGTTTGCAGAAAAGCTAGGCGTGGCAAATCCGCTGGTTGCGGATGGTCCTGAAACGCATTGGAAAGGTTAAAAAAAAAAACTCGACAAGGGGTGCCCCTCATTTGAGTGACCGGCAGAAAATTGCAGGTCTCAGTTTCATTTCTTCTCACTGGCTTTGCGCACAGAAACGACCCGTTTTTGGACCGAACTGTCACCTGTGATGAAGAGTGATCATGTATGATAACAGGAGACGTCCGAGACCGTGATGGATGCCGACAGAACCAAGGCTACTCTCAAAGCTGCAGTCCTCCCGAAAAAAAAGGTTACGCGTAAACAGTGTGATAGTCAGTCGGCTGGTGTGATCCACTATACCTTTTTGTTACCAGGCCAAACCATCACAGCAGAGTGCTACTGTGAAGAAATCGACAAAATTTACCGAAAATTGCGTCAGCTGCAGCCAGTACTTGTCAACGGAAAGGGTCTGATTCTTCTGCATGACAACGCCCGCCCACACGTTTCACAAATCACTATCCATAAATTGAACGAATTGGGTGTGAAAGTTCTACCTCACCCGCCATGTTCTCCAGACGTTTCACCAACTGACTATCACCTTTTCAAACATTTCAGAACTTCCTTGCTGGAAAATATAATACTTCATTAATTAGGACCAGGCAAAAAAGCCTTCGTGGATTTCTAGATTCTCAACCACCCAGATTTTCCTTCGATGGGGTTAACCGACAGATGTCACATTGGCAAAAATGTGCTGATTCGAACCGTTCCTCTTTCGATTGAATCCGATGAGTGTTAAGAAAGTTATTATCGTTTAAAATAAAACACTCAAACGCTGAGAACTTTCCGTTCAACCTAATAGAAGAGGAAGGAGCGCAGCGTCAGGCAGCTATCCAACTGGTGAATGCGCCAAGCAGTTGGCTTCTATGTGTAGCCTAGAAGCTTCCAAAAACGGGTTCGAGGTGCAAAATATTTTTTGGGTTGTCAAGTGATTCTGCTGTAAAGCTGAAGGCCTTAGAGTGGAAAAGTTTGATTGATTTCGGTGGGGTGCATTCTTTCATCGTACAGCTATGATATGGTACTTCCTAACAGCGTGATTTCAATGATTTCTACGGTTGCTGCTGATTCCACTGAATCAATGGATGTTCCGTCAAAATATTGTTGTATTTAAGCCGACCAAGATTGTTAACGTTTATTAGGCCAACGTTTCGGCTTCCTCGCCTTCGTCAGAGCCTGAAGGAGTCCGAAACAGTTGTGATTTGCTCTCCTAAACGCCTTAACAAAAACTGATAACCTTTTTGAGAAACTGGTAAACAACCTAACGATATCAATCGGTTAAGATGACTCGGCTTACCTTTGATCTCCGCCGCGGAGACGCGAGGTCGACCACCCGGCTTGCAGTAATGCGATGAGTGAGAATCCCCCTCTATCCCTCGACCTCAAACCTCGACCTCATGTAGATCAAAACCCACAAAGGGCTCGAGTTCACAGGTCATGACCACCCACTCCTCTTTCCTATTCATTCTGGGGTCTTTAGCCGAAATCCACAATGCCTCCAATGTTTTCCGCGCTGCGATCTCCGGCTCCTGCGCCAGGATGGACACAGTCATTTGAAATCCCACACCATCATGAGAATGAACGCGATGGGCACCCAGCGGAGTTTGGATTTGCGATCTTCGAAGACTATCCATGTGTTCCTTAACCGTACGCGCAGAGGCCGTCCCGTTTCTCCTATATACTCACTACTGCATGCGAGGCAACGTATGTAATAGATCACTCCCGACTTTATGCAATCACCTGCTCTACCATAAGATCAAACCATGCACTGTGGCGTATCACATGAATAATCGTACAGGCGATTTCGAACGAGGATACGTTTTAAATTGTTCGGGGGGATTTCTGTCAACCTAACATCGTCTTGCAAGCCGCTCTTATGCAAACTTGCTCAAATTACCTGGCTCGCTTCATCTGATATGAACGGAAAATTGAAAGGCACTTTGATATCTCGCTGATGACTCTACAATGATCGTTATATCCTTTCCGAGCTGATCTTGACCCCGGGTATCCGTTGGATACCCGGGGTCAAGATCAGCTCGGATTAGATATTCCAGGCCGTATTGAGCGTTTTTCAACGCCACGTCAACGAGACTTTGTTCGCAGTTCTGAACATATTAGCCAGGACAGCTCGCTTTGTCGTCTTCGGGTGTGCCGAGCCGTAATGGACGAGAATGTTCTTGTTACTCGGCTTACGATACCACTTAGTTCTAACCGTGCTTCCCGATAACTAGATCTGAATGCTTAAGAAAGGAAGCCAGTTCTCTATTGAGATTTCCCTGGTAAATTTGATGTGACTGACTGTTTATTGAGAAGGTCGTGGAGGATACAATAGATGTTCATTGCATGAAGATTGGAATGTTTAGTAAGATCACTTTCCGGAGTGGTTTGGTCGTTACCTAACACTATGACCTAACATAATTTACTTTTGCTTCGCGATTTCTCCTTACTCCTAATTAGCATCGAGGGCCAATAGGATTTGATGCGTTTCTTGCCTACCGCCGGCCTTCTGAGTGGTCAAGTACCAGTCGGACATTACAGGGAATGTCCTGATCGAACTGACAGTTGAACTATCAGTCCGATCAGGACTTTTCCTGTTATGTCCGAGTATCAGGACATTCCCTGTTATGTCCTGATTGAACTGATAGTTGAACTATCACTCCGATCAGACTGTGTGGCCATTCGGTTGGAGACTGATATCATTTTTCGGCAGCACACTTTCGTGTAATTAAACAGTATGACGACAGGAATTTACAGTTGGATGCCCTACCCCCATCGGAGACGTTTCTAATAATGATATTTAGACAGGTGACCACTATCCCTGGGAAGCTACAACTGTGGACAAGCAAGAAGTGAAAGCTGCGTTTGAGAATGTCATTATCATTACGGCTCACGGGTACGACAGAAGGTTCTACGAGGATTTTCAGGACAAGCTCAGCCGGGCCACTGGCATTGTTGGCAGTCACGTAGGTTCTTTGAAGGCAGTGGCCACGTTATGAGTACTTCAAGGTGACGGACGAACAACGGTGGAAGTTCAAATACTTCAGTCAGTCACTGTTCATGTCGCTGTCCGGCATTCGCCCTAATCTTGCAGTGCACAACGCGTGACCATCGTGTATTCGATACCCAAACCTTTTTGTTCTTGCACTGCTAATTGTAGCTATCTTCATTAGCTGCTGATATACACATTTTTTCTGGGAAACAGGACTGCTGCAATGTCATAGCTACCAAAACATCCATTTTCAGTATGCTACTTTGACCTACATGTCTCTTTACGATGCCTTGTTTCTTTACGGTCTAGCTCTTCGTGACGCATTTGAGGAATTTGGAGGTTATGATGTGCACCAAAATGGATCCCTTATCTGCTCAAAAATGACTAACCGGCAATTCATCGGTCAGTTGTTACAATATTCATCATCATATAGATCAGTTAAAATGAAAACAACTGTTCGTTGCTTCGCAGCACGTTTTAGGTGCAACCGGTCAAGTGCTTATGAACAACAAGGCGATTCGTGTACCCAGCTACGCTACATATCACACTTCCAATGGAACGCTACGAATAGTTGTTGAATTGGAGGCGAGAAACGTAAACAACGAGAACTGTGACAGGAATCCATCACAATGCTCGGAACATGTGAGCTCTTCGCGCACCAAGAAGTAGTAATTCGTGCTAGAGCCTCTTGCAGACAGGGCACATCGTTGTTGTAGAATCCACAGCAGAGGGTAGTGGGGGGGGGGTGGGGTTTTGAGTGACGTGGTTCAAAGATCCTTTCAGATTTCAGATTAGATCAGATTTTTCACGTTTCAGAACAATGTGCTCGTACCCCCTCAGTAGTAATTTTTAGGCTATTCGTGAAGGGGATCGTCTCTTGATAGAGCTATGGAGATATTATATTAAATAAAAATTTTCGGATTTTCCCATTATATGCTCACTTCCTCATATTTCGAGTGTGTAGCTAGGAAGCTGTTAGCGCATGCTGCACAGTGCATATGCTTGAGAGATAGTAGAGTTGTGAAAACCATGCCAAAAATAGCACACTGTTTGAGGAGAACCTTTACGCACTAACACTGGGGAGTGAAGAATCAAAAAGTCTTCGAAAATAAAGGGAGCGCTCCTATCAGGAGAAACGGCGACTTGCAAAAGTGCACTGATGACGTTACTTGACGTAACTACATTAATGTTAATCAGTCGATCTATTTCTCCAGTTTTGCCGTTCGTATGCCCTAGTTTTTGCGACTTTCACTTCAGACGCATCGACTCAAATTAAAAACTGCCTGTCGGATGCAAGCTGGGGGCGTGAATTTGTTCTAGTGCCATGATCGCTTTGATGTGTGACTTCCAGACAAAAATTTCCACTTCCCTGGATAAGAAATACTTACAAACATTACTTTCCCTTCTCACAGTCGCTCATCGTCAATTTCACGGCATCACTTATTTCTACCTGTGAGTATGCCTTACTGTGTTAACACTTCTCTTTTTTCAAGAGTACAGCCCAGAAAACTACTGACCCGGAAGCAGCTTCGTTGACAATGTTTTGACATTTCCGCTTCGTTACTATAGGGTCATCTTGTCAGGATTTCAGGATTAGATACGGAGAATTGATTGAATAAGGTTTCATAGCCGGTCAATGAAGTATGTCAAGTTTTGGCTCATGAGATTGTGAAGCGGGGGTGGTTAAGTCCACTCCTCCACGTAGTGTTACTGGGGATTGCTCGCTCCTGTGGGCTAAGCTGGTCGCGGACGCCCGGAAACAGGTGACAGGCCTTCGTGGCGGGCCGGCCTGCGAACACAAATGTCACATTACACACGTCTAATTATGCCATATGTACTCCGGTTAATGCTACGGCTTCCGGGAAGCGTGCACTCGCAAGGTCCGGCGAGTTTGGAAAGTATGCGAGAGTCTCCATAGGACGGCATCAGGAGGCAACTAAGGTAGTCCAAACGTAGTGCAGCGTAAGGGAGGTCCGTGGCAAGGTTAAATGTGGCAACATTGACGGGACGCTCGCGTAACATGGTAGAAAAACGACCCTGGAGAGGAGACGAATAGACCTCCGTGCAGTGCAGGAACAAGGTGGTCCAGTTGCAAGTTGAGAGACATTGGCCGCAGCTAAAGCCATTCTTTGTGGTGAGCTGAGGACTACCAACGGTGTGGCCATAAGCAACTATGTCGACTTTTTCGTGATTCAGTAGTAAGCTTGGAACGCTTCGATGATAGCTTCATGAAGATTGTGGTCGCTGTCGAGCTTCCCCCACTGATCTGTACGTCAAAGTTCGCAACGCTCAGGGACTAACAGGGCGAACGGTATGATCCCGAGAGAGTTAAGTGGAGGCATTCGAAAGAAAAGGAGGCAGCTGTGATCTCTTGTATTTGAGTTCTCATCGTCACGATTGTCGACCTGGGAAGGTGTTGCCAAAGCAGTACATGGGGGGGGGGTGCTCGTTTCAAACTCAGCAGCCAGGGAGGCGTAGAATTGATAAGCAACCATGTTGTCGAAAGACAATATGAGGGAAAAGGTTTGCGAAAAGAAAAGGCGCTGCCACGCTCTCCTTGGAGAAGAATCAGCTGACAATCGCCGGCAGTTCAATTAAGCGAAAGGTGCGGCAATGAAGGCTGTGTTGCTGCGAAAGCAGTCTGTTTTGTGGAGGTCAGTGAGGAACTGGATTCACGCGATGGATAACCACACCTCTAGCGACTGGCCAAGGCCTGCCATCGCCAGACCGAATATGTAAAGAAACACCTAGTGTCAGCGATGAGAGTGGCCGTAATTTGATGGACTGAAAGAGGGTACGAAGCTACAGCGCCACTTCTTTCAGATTATTTCAACCATGGAGCATACACATTCGGTCATCTCCCGTCTCATCGTATACTCTTCCGTTTGGAAGACAACCATAAAAGAGGCGAGAACGCTCTCAAAAAGGTGGAGTCAGGCTCAGGCAATGTAATAGGACCGAACGATGTGGCAGCCAAGCTGTGGAAATCGCAGCGCTGGTACTCTGCAGAAGGTTGACAGAATTCTTTTATCAAGTCGTTGCTGATGAGAAGACCTCTAAGGACTGGCAAGAGAGCACGATGATTGCGATTTGGAAGAAGAAGAAGGGCAGCACAGCGAGCCACTCGAACTACCGATTTGCCTGCTGTCACACAGCATGAAGATACTTGAGCGAAATGTTGATGAGGTATTCGTGAAACCATCCAACTTTCTACCATTCAGTGCGGCTTTGTGACAGGTTGTAGCATCATCAGCATCACCAGACATGCCTCGCCTCTTCTGCTGGAGAGACATCACAGCTCTACCTCTAACTTTCCTGAACCTGGAAAAGGCATTCAATTGAAGTTATGTAGTATGCCTCGGAACAACACGGTGTTTCTGAAGAGCTTGATCAGTGGGTGTACATGCTGTACTCCAGCTCAAAAAATCATGTACAAACATCGACAGGCACTTCGGGGGGACTGCCCATTACACTCGGGATACATTGAGGCTCTGTGCTCTCCCCACCTCTGTTCGTGGGCGTGGATGCCATCTCACGAGATCTTCAGAAACTGGCTGCATAGACGCTCCTCTATGCAGATGACGTAGTGCTTGCAAGTGAGGATAAAAATGACCTTTAGGAACAGGTGCAGACCGTATGATTGCCTGGCAGAGTTCGGACTTATTCTGAACATTGAGAAGACTGAGTACTTGACGACCAACTCAAACGAGTCCGAATCCATTAGGATCACTTTCGTCGAGCTCACGCGTAAAGAGCCTCCAAGTCTCTTTGGTCAGAAATTATGTACGATTGCAACCTGGCCTCGGAGGTGAGCTCGCACGTGAGTGCAGCAAGGGTCAAATGGCACTCCATGACTGGAGTTCTCTGTGACAAGACGATACCGGAGCGCCTCCAATCGAAGATCTACAGAACTCTGACTAGACAGTAGCGTTGTACGGAGCTGAGTGCTGGCCTGCGACTGAAGAAGTTGTAGCTCGCTTCAGCGTGATGGAGATGAATACGCTACGTCGGACGTATGGATCGGATCTACAACGATAACATGCGCAAGGTATTCGGCGCAGCTCGCATAGTTGATTAGATGCGAGAACTTCGTCTCCGATGGTATGACCACGTACTCAGCGCGAAGGCAGGCACTGTCTGTAAGGCCAGTCGGCGCAGTTTGTCGACGAGGGGCATTTTGCTTTTCATAGATATGTCGACCCATCTACGTAGCCATTTCTTGAGTTGACACGTTCCAGGATAGTGGCTAGATAATTTGACTTCAGCTTCACAAGAGTTCGCATGTTTTACCAGAGTGAGCTTTGTAAACCGGAACTAGGGAAGCAATGATAATACAAAATGCCCCCCCCGTCGACAAACAGCGCTAGGCCAGTCTTAAGCTCGGTGCTCAGAAGCAGGGTACAGCATCGTTGTGCAAAACCCATAGGGGGGGAGGTCGTACTTGGCCGCTGGGGAAGGGAAGAGGAGTCGTAATCTCAAGGGTCAGTCAGCGCCGTGCAATGTTCGACATCTCATTTGATAATGGGAGTGGAGCTATGGAAGCCAAGATGTTAAAAAAATGAAAATTATTAGGTTGTCCGGAAAGTCCTCAGCGTTTTGAGTGTTCCACTTTAAACGATCATAACTTTCTTAATACACATCGGATTCAATCGAAATAAGCACCGTGATCAGCGCACTTTTGCCAGTGTGATACCAGTCGAAAAATCCCATCAAAGGAAAAAACTGGTGGTCGAGAATCGAAACCACGAAGGATTTTTTTGCCTGGTCCTGATTGATGAAGTATTTTCCAGCGAGGAAGTTCTGAAAATGTTCGATAAGGGGATAGTCGGTTGGTGAAAGGTCTGTAGAATACGGCGGGCGAGGTAGAACTTCAGCCCCCAATTCGTTCAATTAATGGGTAGTGATTTGTGAAACGTGTGGGGCGGGCGTTGTCACGCAAAAAAATCGCACCCTTTCTGTTGACAAGTGCTGGCTGCAGCTGACGCAATTTTCAGGACGTTTCGTCGATTTCTCTACACTAGGACTCTGCTTTGATGGTTTGGCCTGGTGACAAAAAGTTATAGTGGATCACACCAACCGATGACCACCACACTGTGACCATAATCTTTTTTCGGGATTCGGCTTTGGAGGTTGCCTCGGTGGTTTGTCGGCATCCAACCACTGTCCGGAACGTCTCCTATTATTACACATGATCCACTTTTCATCACAGGTGACAATTCGGTCCAAAAACGGGTCATTTCTGTTGCGCAAAAACAGTGAAGAAGAAACCTCGAGACGTGCCAATTTCTACCGGTCACTCAAATTGAGGGGCACCCACTTGTCGAGTTTTGACGTGGGGAGTACGCAGAAGTAGGCTCGCTAAGCATCAGAAAGTACAAAGGTATCATTGCTATGACAATGGCACACAGGGAGTCGAACACTTGAGTAGCTCAGAGGGTAGCTTTTTGGTAACCCATCTAAAATATCTCCCGATCTAGCCGGTCTTCGGGAAAACTAAAGCTTGTTGAAGAGAAAAGATAGGGCGCTCTGAAGACGGTTTCGGTTCTGATGAAATTGCGTTTGAAATAAGTAATCCTCGTGTAAAGCATGAAAACTCGCTCGCGATTTAGCCCTAGCTCATCCGCAACCCATCTGAAAGATTTCACGAACGGGGAAACATTCAGATTGCA